CTTTTTGTGGTTATTTACTTATACATAAATCTGAATATTAGATTAGGGTTAAGTGGGATGAACTAAGGCATATAATTTGAGTTGAGAATTTTATGTAGGCACGCAGGGTAGTTTTTAGCCTCTTGTTTGACTAGATTTAAGATAATGCTTCTAAAGGGAAAATACTTGTCCTTTTATAATCTATTCGTAAATTTGGTGCCAATTTCTGATATGGCCTTTTGCTTTCCTGCTTTAACGTTTTTGTTCAACAACCATTGTTTAGTCTTCAATGTGATTACAATGAGAGCTTTAGTCACCTGATAAATGGACTTTAGTGCTTGGTTTGCATGGTTCTCAAGAAAATTTCCATCTTGCAACTCAGTAATTTCTGTCACCTTATGGATTTCAATGGTTGCACTTTTTTTTCTAATAAATTTTAGATTTGGGATCTCAGCATCAAAGAGTAAATGTTTTTAGTGAAAAGCTAAGGGTGCGTTCCCTTTGGCATTTTCGGGCCATTTTCCATTTTCTAAAAAACGGAAAACGCGTTTGGCAAGCTATTTCAAAAACGCATTTTTGAAAACAAGAGAAAATTTTGGCATTTTGAGTGTTTTTAGTGCAAATGGCCCAAAACATGGAAAACACCCAAAACACGGTAATTCCCCTTCCACTGTTCAAACGTTAGAAATTTCCCCTCCTCACTGTTTCCCTCTCGGCTCTCTCCTTCTACTCACTTTTCCTGCCGCCAAACCACTACCTTCCGGCTGCCAAACCACCGGATGGAACCACCATTAGCCTCGCCTCCTTCCCCTCTACAATCTCCAACCAACAACCAGCCACAAATCAACACGAAGCAACAGGAAATCCAGCCCAAAAAAATGAATGTCGCAATCCCTTTTTGTCGGAATATCCATCTCCAGCGACGCCCACGGTCGCTCACCACCAACACTCGATAGCCCTCATTCAGGCGATCAATACCATGTCCTAACATCAACCAATAATGCACCAATTCGTTCTAATGTGTTTCAGTGCAAAGACAGCAGTCGCGAACCAACCTGCTTGCTTCGATTCAGGTTTCTGGCGATTGGCATCAGTCAAGTATTAATCATGTCCCTACAACCATGGGTAACACTTCAATTTCATCAATTGATGCAGAAATTGTCGCTAGAATGGGAGTTTTCAGCCGTTTGTTTCACTCGCGACTGGCCTCTTTTGAGCAAAGATTCCGGTCTATTCGGCCGGAGTTAGGGCCAGCTATTGGGTTGGGGTTGTAGATGACATTGCGGGCTTCAAGTTTGTGCTATGATCCGGTGGCCATGGTGGCTGGAAAGTGGCGTTTTGGAGGTGGCGATATTGAGATTGAAAGAGAGAATTGTACAAATGTTTTCAAAAATTTTTAAACCAAACATGTTTTCTAATTTTTCGTTTTCAAAAATCATTTTTCAAAATGATAAACCAAACGCATTTTTTACAATCTCAAAATAAGGCCTCAAAAGAGAAAATAGAAAACGAATTCAAAACAGAAAATGGAAAACAGAAACGCAAAGCGAACGCCCCCTAAATGCTTGGTATAAAAATGATAAAAAAGGAAGAAAAATTTAAAATAGGGAAGATAATATTCAAGTTAAACCCTGAATATTCACGAATGATGCATCTAATTGGCTTCTCTGCTTTGGTAGGTTAATCAAGTCACTTTGACTGCTGTTAAATTATCTCATTATGTTCTCCTAAACATTTGTGCTAAAGTGGATGAATTGGTAATAGCGTAGCTTTCATGTTATATATGGTTGAGAATGTGAAAACAGCCAACACTATTCTTAGATGCCTTCCTCTCCCCTGTAACCTATGCCACTCTTTTGAACACGAGAATGGCCTAGAGTAAGAACAACCTGGGTCCAAAGTTAGCTATGCCTGCACTTGTGATCTGCATATGTACTTATATTATATGCTTTTAATGTTCTTGTATATAAAAACCTTTTTGTTTCAATTCCTAACTTTAAGTGACGTTGAACAGATGTGTACTTCTTGGGGTGAGTTGTGGAGGAAATATTGCTGACTACGTTGCACGTAAATCTGTTGAGGCTAGTAAGCTTTTGGACCCAGTAAAGGTGGTGGCTCAGGTTTTGATGTATCCATTTTTCACTGGAAGTGTGCCCACACATTCTGAGATAAAACTGGCAAATTCCTATTTCTTTGACAAGGCTATGTGCGTACTTGCATGGAAACTTCTCTTACCAGAGGAGGAGTTCAGCCTGGATCACCTTGTTGCCAACCCTCTTGTTCCAGAGAGAGGACCACCTTTGAAGAAGATGCCTCCAACACTGACAGTGGTGGCTGAACACGACTTGATGAGAGATCGAGCCATTGCTTACTCAGAGGAGCTTCGGAAGGTAAACGTGGATGCACCTGTTCTCGAGTACAAGGACGCAGTTCATGAATTTGCAACTCTTGACATGCTTCTTAAGACCCCTCAGGCCCAGGCTTGTGCTGAAGACATTGCCATTTGGGTTAAGAAACATATTTCACTTAGAGGCCACGAGTTCTCATACTGAGTTGCATAAATGAAATATTGACAGCAGCACTTGCATTTTTAGCATGTTTTGTACGTTAGGAGGCGGCATCACTGGACAGGATTAAGGAGGAAAAATAATTTAAAATTTAGTGCTGTGTAATGTATAGTGTTGTCTAATACTATGTACCAAAAATGCCCCTTATGTCTCAACGATTGAAGGATCACTGGTTTGGGGTTTGTAACATGCCATCTTATGTTCATATATTGAAGGACAATTTGTTGATTCTTCGTGGAAGACAGGTATCTTGCTTTAGATTAGTTTTCTAGTGGAGTTTGTGAGGCGAAATTCTGTGTGAACTTCTTTGTCCACAGATTTGCATATTGTAATATTTTTTCATCATAATGTAATATCGAAGAAAATCTTTCTTTCTTCATTATTTTTTATATTCGATTTTTTCAATGAATAAACTGAAGGTTTAAGAACAACATTACACGCATTACATCCATGCGAGGAGCAAAAATGGTTGCAGTCTTGCAGATGATCATTGTAGTCATAATTGAGAGGAAATCATGGGGAACGGCCGGTTGACCCATACGTATTTCCAAAGTGGCATTTGACTGATTTTATTAAAAAATAAAAATAAAAATAAAAATAAATTGAATTTAAAGGTCAAAATCCAAAAATACCCTCATACTCTCTCACTTTCTTCTCAGAAGAATCTTGTGCCAAACACATCAACCAAAAAAACTCATCACAGTCGAGATCCAGTCGGTCGGCGATCAATAACAGTTAGCGACAATGATATCCAGTTGGCGGCGAACTTGAAGTTCTACAAGGTTAGTTGTTTTAGATAATGGTTTGGAGTGATTTTCATATTTCATATAATGTGGTAATAAATTTATCAACTTTCAATTTATTGTTGGTTGTTTAGGGTAGATGGCTGAGTTTAGGAGTAGATTTCTAGTTTTTGAGGTGAGAGGGGAGGTTTTTCTCTTCGGAAATGGAGATTTCCGGGGAGAGAAAATCGTGGTTGTTAAACAGCTGATTCATCCGACTGTTATAGTCGGCCTAGACTTTTTTTTTTTTTGAAATATTTGATTAATAATTTAATATTTTTAACTTGAAA